CCATTTCTATGTCTGTCCAAAAACACTGTCTATGGGACTATTGGATCGATTTCAGTCCCCACTTTCTATTTGTCAGTTCTTCAATCATGGGGAATCTGGTCATCCAGCTTCCTGGCTGTGTCATGTGGAGAAGGGGCATCCTGGGCAGCTCCACACCATGGGTGACCGCATGGCCACCCAGGAATCAAACGTTCATCTAATACTGTAGCGTCTCCTGAAACACAATCTTCCACTCTCCAGTTCCCCATTTCCACTAAAGACAAAACACAGCAGGACCAACCTACCTGCAAAAGAAGCTTCAGTCCCCTATACTTGGCCTGATTACCCACACAAAGTGCAGCAAGAATCATTGTTCATATAGGCTCTCCTAAATGGGCTTTGCTGGAACATTTCACAGTGCCATTTCAGGCAAAGCCCTGGGAAAATTATCAATTCCTCCACCTGTGTCAGGTTATAAAAGAAAACAGAATCTTATTGAACTTATGCAAACAAACACATGGTCATGAGTTAAGAATATTCAGTTTACAAATTCTGGAGAAATTCGGCAGAGAGAAAAATATGCCTCGAATTCTGTTTAGAGAACTATTCTACTCAATTGTTGCAGGCTATAAATAGCTCAAAAGGAAACACGTTCTCCAGGCTCTGAAGAATCAACAGTGTTTCAAACAAACAAACAAAGACCATAACAACTTATTTCAGTCCTCTATTAGTCCAATCCATGCAATCAACTCCTGCTCTGCTTCATACTGGGCTAGCAATCTTTATGAACACATCAGCCTTTCTATTAGTGCCCTGGAAATTTTCTCTTTGGTTCAATGGCATGATCTCCAAGTTATCAGAAACCTGCCTCTAAGAGTCCTTTTCGTGGACTTCCCCAAAGAACCAAGGCCTGGACTGTAACTGATTATAAGTCACTTTTTAAAGAAGAATCAAAGCAAAACAACAATTGTGGATGACAAAAGCCTTAAGACAGCCATAGTTATAGACACAGTTGACAAGGGAATTCTGTTGCTTTTGTGGCACCCGACAATTTAACATAATAATCGTAATTATTACTGACAGCATATCAGAACTCTAGGAATCTCATACAATCCTGGAACACACATTAACAACACATCTGTGTCAATAGAACCCAAAGGAAGTGAAACATCACCTCAGATTTGACAATGCTTCGTGCATAATTCTAGCATAACAAATAAGCCTAAGAAGCCTAATATATCTATCTTGGACTTCAAGAACCTAATATCCAAAAAGTTAATTTGAGGTCCAAAAGGCTCAATATGGAAACTTTACTCTTGGAAAGTTTGCCAAAGTTTTGAGAGACTTGATATCACAAAATAGGATCACAGGTCACCTTAAAATAGTCAATCATTTAGCCAAAAGGTAAACAAAAATATTGTATCTATTATTAATATTACACAAACATTTTGATGAAGAGAAAACCAAGTTTTACCTTTGTGTGATGTATTAAAATGTTAAAGCTAATTTTAATAAAACCTTATACACAAATTTAATTATAATCAGTTTGACCATAAGGTAAGAGTTTCAAAAACCTTTCATGACCTTTTATACTTTTCTATGAAAAAGCAGATGAAAGCTCTAGAAAACCCTGTTATTCCGATATATGGGCCCAGTTGCTGGCCTTGCATCAGGGTGCTTCTGAGTGTAATGTCTAATTTATAGAAAATCTCTGAATTTGAGAGGCCAGGGTGGGTAGATCACTTGAACTTAGGAGTTTGAGACTAGCCTGGGCAATATGGTGAAACATTGTGTCTACCAAAAATACAAAAAAAAAAAAAAAAAAAAAAAGAAGGAAAGAAAGAAAGAGGGAGGGAGGGAGGGAGGGAAGGAAGGAAGGATGGAAGGAAGGAAGGAAGGAAGGAAAGAGAGAAAAGAAAAGAGAAAGAAAAAAAAATCTCTGAACTAAAGTTCTCCCTCAAACTCCAGCCTTACAATTCTCATGTGCCCACCTCTTCTGTCTAGAGGAAGAGGGGTTATGAGATGGAAAAGGGGACATGTGGGATTGTTGGGTGTAGAGGGATTGAATGGTTTCAATTTCTGATTCTGTCTGTCATGAAAGCAGTTGGTTTTGATTGTCATCTTCCCCAGGGTCTGAAGATGAGGCATTGATTGGTGTCAATATTCAAGATTTAGCAGGAGAAGCTGCCCTTTTCAGACCCAGGAGTCAAAGCTCTGTAAGATAATAGCACAGGGATTAGTTAACAGGACATTTGTACTGCAGAAAGTTCTACTTCTCTCTCTCACGTCACCAATAAAAACACTGTGATCTGCTGTCGAGTAGTTACTGCCTGCAGCGCTTCAAACAACCGTATTAAAGTGGTTAGGATACTCCTTGCCTGGCAACATGTAGTTGCCAGCATTCCAATGACAGAACTGTGATCAAACGCATCAAAAATGTGATAGAACCTATGCCAAACTTTTCAAAGTAAGGCAATTAAATTTTCTCTCCATCATTTAACAAAATGCTAAATGCATATATCAGTTTTGGAAATTCCGTATGAGGATAAATAATCTCATTTTATTTAAATACTAAACAACAAAACAAGAACAAAGTGATAATAAACACACACTCATTTCTTTTCAGCTATTTTATTTATTTATTTTGAGACAGAATCTTCCTCTGTCACCCAGGTTGGGATACAGTGGCAGGATCTCAGCTTGCTGCAAACTCCACCTTCGAGTCCCAGGTTCAAGGGATTCTCCTGCCTCAGCCTCCTGAGTAGCTGGAATTACAGGTGGGCACCACCATGCCCAGCTGATTTTTGTGTTGTTAGTAAAGACAGGGTCTCGCCATGTTGGCCAGGCTTCTGGCCTTGAGCTCCTGGCCTTCAGTGATCTGCCCACCTCGGCCTCTCAAAGTGCTGGAATTATAGGAATGAGCCACCACACCTGGCCTTCTTTTCAGCTATTTTAAAAGAGCATAATCACATATTTCCAAGATTGGTTTCTAGATAGAGTACCGATTACTGATTAGGTTGCTTTCACCATTAAAATCTTCAAACCAGTACAATAATTGTACACATTTTGTTTTCAAGTGCACACATGACAGCCCAACAATGATACAAGGCTTGAGATCAAAAATCACTAGAAATTCTCACAACCTTTTTTTTATTACCACTTCATCCAAGTAAATGTCACTTAATTTTAATAATGCTAAACACAACTTAAGGAGGTTGAGAGAAATCCAATCAATATAATATCCTTAAGGACAAGGCCAATCTTTCTGAACATGGAAACTTTGTATCCACATCACAGTTTTTCCTCATTAAAGGAAAGGGTCTGCAACCAACTCATATGATTGATTGAAACCAACTCATGTTACTGATTGCATTGAATGTGTACCAAACCTCAGGTCATGGGTGCCTGAGTCCTAGTGTTCCTGTGACATCCCCTTGGGGTAGTGGAACTCTACCTTTCAATGATGGGAAGTCTTGGGCAAGAGCAAGTCTCCTCCCCTTGTCCAGTATAGACAGATTTTGTGTCTAACTCTACCTCAGCAGTTGGCCTATCCCTGGGGCCAAGGGTTGGACAGGTTCCTAGCTCCAACCTCAGTAGTAGATGCCTTTTGGTTTATGTGAGAGAAGCAACCAGGTTTTGTGCCTGTACTCTGGTGGTGGTCGATCATGCGATCATGACTTATTGCCTACACCGCTGTGGCAAGCTTGAGAAATTCTCTTTCCCTGCCACATGTGTCTTGTCAGCACTAAGGACGTGGGAGGAAAGACCCAGCAAATGGGCAACAACATGCTATGTGTCTGGGACTCTCAGAGATTCTAAGCTGTCACAATAGTTCACACTTGGCCTTTAAGAAATGATGAAAACTTCAGTGATTTTTCTCCAACCAACATTTATGGCTGCTATCTTTTTCTTCTATTATCTGTCAAAGGTGAACTGCTTCATGTGTTTGTCCTTCCATAGGGAAGTTTCTCATGCTTTGTACTTCAGCTGACTCAGGGGCCTTGCAACTTCAGCTCTCTGGTGGGATCAAAACACATATGATTTTACAGACCATACAGCTTTTTCTTGTCATTAGAGTGGGAACAACTGTCTCTTGCAGCTTTCTACATTTTAAACAACTGTTGAATCACATGTCTGTTTTATAAAATCCTTATCTTTTCCCCTATTTCTGGGCTATTTTCCCTTCAGGATACCACACAAATTCTTTTAGCTGATGACTTCTTTTGAGGCTATGAGGTAGACATAATGAGCACCTTGACGATCCCTGCAAATGAGCCTGTTCATTAGGTGCTCACGGGAAACCTGGGCCCAGACCAGTACTGAAACACGCAACTGTCACCCACAGCTCTTGTTGAATTTTTGTCATGAGGCTCTTTCTCCTCAATCAGCATACTAGTCTTAGAACAAGTTTGATTTTGGGACTATCTTAAAATAGTCTTCCTGAGCGGCTACTAAGATTTGCTGGGACTCCAATTTCTGGTCAAATGTGAGCCAGCAGAGTAAAGACAACATTCTTTACCCAGAAGAAGGCAACACTACATGGATACACCACATTTTTCATCAACCTCAGAACAATTATATCAATGAATATTTAAATTAGTGATTGAAATACTTGCTTCCCAAAGCACGTGATGCTGAAAGTTGCAAAAGTTGCCTTGGTTGTCTAAATGATTGTGTGCTCAGATTGAATTTGAGTGTACACAAGGTGCGCCTCCATTGGAAAAGATTCTAAGAACTGGATGTGGGTAGAGGATGCAATTATGGAACTTAGTATATCCTTCCCCCTTCTTTTCTTTCTTCCCATTTCGACTAGTCTTGTAATGCTAGGCCCAGGCATCAATATACATACAACTAAAAAAGGCAGTATCCGTGTCTTTTTAAAAATCTATACAATTAAATTAGAGGGTGTCTATTGCTAAAGTTACTTTAACTTCACATCATGTAGCCCAATAAGGTGAATGCCACCCACCTATCAAGGGTGTTAGTCAGCTCAGGCTGCCATAGAAAAATACCACAGGTTGGGTGGTTTAACAACAGACTTTTATTTTCTCAATGTTCTGGAGGCCAAAAGTCCAAGATCGACGTGCTAGCAGAGCTGGTTTCTGAGGAGGCCTCTCTTCCTGGCTTGCAGAAGGCCACTTTCTTGCTTTGTGTTCCCATAGCCTTTCCTCTGTGCCTGTGTGGAGAAAGAGAGATATTCTTTCATGGTCTTCCTCTTCTTATACGGACACCATTCTGACCAGATTAGGACCCCACTTGTATGGCCTCATTAACCTTAATTACCTCCTTAAAGATTCTATCTCTAAACGCAGTCAAATCTGGGGTTAAGCTTTCAACATATGAATTCAGAGGAAAACTATTCATTTTATAACACCAAGCAATAGGGATAAGCCCAAGATTCTTTTTTTCTTTTTTCTTTTTTTTTTTTGAGACAGAGTTTAGTTCTTGTTGCCCAGGCTGGATGGCAGTGGCATGATCTAGAATCACCGCAACGTCTGCCTCCCGGGTTCAAACGATGCTCCTGCCTCAGCCTCCCAAAGTGCTGGGATAACAGGCAAGCACCACCATGCCTGGAGAATTTTGTATTTTTAGTAGAGATGGGGTTTCTCCATGTTGGTCAGGCTGGTCTCGAACTCCAACCTCAAGTGATCCGCCTGCCTCAGCCTCCCAAAGTGCTGGTATTATAGGCGTGAGCCACTGCACCTAGCGATCCTACGATTCTTTACCTATTAAATCCTATGGCATTTGCCTGGTGATAGGGCCAGGAAGAAGTTGTTAGCAAGGCTGCTATTATTGCTAATTCTATGATTAGGAAAGCATACCTGAGCTGAAGTGCCTGACTTACGGGAAACAGTGCAGGTCAAACAGGCATGAAATCAAAATAGGGGGAAATTGTAGTAAACAAAAGCAGTGCTCTTATGTGAGTCATGCATCCAGGAAGGATTAAAATTCTGCAATTTCATGGAAATTCTATTGTCTTTATCAGGAGAATGACTTTACAAGGTTTATTAACTGGGGGGAAAGGATGGTATGGATTAAGGACCACACCTGATTGCTCATCTTAATATGAATTCTTGACTAAACAGCTATAGGGTGTGAAGGAAAGATCAGCAGTCAAAGAAAACTCAAAGATTTTTCGCTTGAGCATATGGAAGGATGCAGTTTCTATCTACAGAGCTGAGAAAATAGCATGTGCAGCAGGTTGTAGGAGGAAAAACAGAGATCAGCTCAGGGCCCCAAAACCTTGCTTGAGTTTTCCATTCACCCTGTCGCCATTTCTACATCCCCTTGAGATTTTTGTGAGTCTGAATGCAGAGTTGCTTGGCCACTTCTCCCCCTGGGCACCAGTCCTCTCACCTCCTCCTGACAGCGTCTTCCATGGCCCTGGCTCTGATGACCATCTCCCAACACGATGTCATCCTGCAAAGGTGATCTGAGCCATAACTGGGGCAAGGCCATCCACTCCTTGACTTGTGTGGCATTGGTGGGCCCCAGGAGTACTTCACTGTTTCTCAGGGTAGTAGGTCTTTTGTATGGAACTCTTCTTCTGAGGAAAACACGGAGGAAACAGCCTGAGGGGTGGAAAGGCAGGGCTGTACCAGGGATCCTAGGAAAGCTGAGACTAGGCTCTCAATGCAAAGAACATTTACGACCTGAGAAGTTCTACTCAGTTACTATCATTAGTTTAGAATCTCATCAATGCAAATGGTATAGAAATTTGTTTTCTTCCTGGTTATATGTGCACCTACATAATATCCTTAATTTTGCCTCTTGGCTCACAAGCCTACAACACTTCCTATCTCCCTGGCCCGTTGCAGAAAAAGTTTGCTGAAGTCTACAGACAACAACGCCCCATGCTTTACAGAAAAAGACACCCAGGAATCTCTTTTACTAATTTTCATTTGTTGGACATTTTTCCTGGTCACCAATAAGTTCCCTTTGTTGGCTTGAAATGATTAGTCTCTGGTTGGTTGTCATTTGCAATGACACTATATATACTGGGACCTCAAAGCAGAAAAACCATAGAAGAAAACCTAGGAAATATCATTCTCAACATCAGCTGTGGCAAAGAATTTATGGCCAAGTCCACAAAAGCAAATGTAGCAAAAACAAAATTCACAAGTAGGACCTAATTCAATGAAAAAGCTTCTGCACAGCAAAAGAAACCATCAACAGAGTCAACAGGCGACCTACAGAATGGGAGAAAATATTCACAAACTGTGAATCTGACAAAGGTCTAATGTCCAAAGTCTGTCAGGAACTTTAAAAAATCAACAACAATGAAAAATAATTCCATTAAAAAATGGGCAAAGTGACATGAACAGGCACTTCTTAAAGGAAGACATACAAGCAGCCAGCAAACACAGGAATAAATGCTCATCATCACTAATGATCAGAGAAATGCAAATCAAAGCTACAATGAGATACCATCTCACACCACTCAGAATGGCCATTAATAAAAATTCAAAAACCAACGGATGCTGATAAAACTGGAGAGAAAGTGTATAAACCCTTGGAGTGAATGTAAATTAGATCAGTCACTGTGGAAAGTAGTTTGGAGATTTCTCAAAGAACCTACAACAGAGCTGCTATTCAACCAGTAATCTCATTACTGGTTATATACACAAAGGAATGTAAATCATTAAAACAAAAAGACACATGCACTCCTATGATTATCACCAGGCTATTTACAATAGTGAAGACATGGAATCAAACGAGGTGCCCATCAATGGTGGATTAAATTTTTAAAAAAATGCGGTACATGCACAACATGGAATACTACACACCCATAAAAAGAATGAAATCATGTCTTTTGCAATAACATGGATAGAACAGGAGGCCATAATCTGGAGGAAACTAATGCAGAAACAGAAAACGAAATACCGAATGTTCTCACTTAGGAGCGGGACCTAAATATTGAGCTCACATGGACATAAACATGAGAACCATAGACACTGTGGACTACCATGAGGTAGGGAGGGCGGGAGGGTGGGAGAGTGGGTTGAAAAACTAGCTATTGGATACTATGCGAACTACCCGGACTCAATATACCCATGTAACAATCCTACACATGTACACTTGGTACATAAAATAAAACTGAAATTTTAATAAGAACAAAATTATATTACACTAAAAAAATTACTGCACAGAAAGTAAACTAATAATGGATTTAAAAAAATTAAATATTACAAATAAAGATCTAAAATCAATAATCCAAACTTACACTTTAGGAAACTCAAAGAAAACAAGAGCAAATCAAGTCCAAAGTGAGTGGAAGACAAGAAACAATGAACGCTAGAGCAGAAATCAAGGAAATCGAAAACCAGAAATCAATAGAGAAAAGTCAACAAAACCTAAAGAGTGTTCTTTGGAATGACCAATAAAATTGATAAACCTTTAGCTGGTGAACCAAGAAACAATGAGAAAAGATACACATTACTAATATGAAAAAGAAAAGAAGGACTCTCACTACTGATCATGTGGACATTAAAAGGATAGTAGAGGGCTATTAAAAACAATTCTCTGCTCGCACATTTGATAACTTCGATGAATTGGATCAAGTCCTTGAAAGATGAAGTTGACAAAACCTCATACAAGGAGAAATAGATAACCTAAATAGGTCTCTATTAATGAAATTGAAGCAACAATTAACAACCTTCCAGAACAAAGCACCAGGTCTAGATGGTTTCACTACCAAACACCTAAGGAAGAAACTGTACCAATTCTCTTTAGAAAATGGAAGCCGAGGGAACACCTCTTAACTCTGGTCTAGGAGGCAAGCTTCACCCTAGTAGCAGAACCAGACAAATGGTTTTGAACCAGGATGTTGAACTAGTCTGGACTGCTGACCAGCTCCTGAAAATCAACCCTGGAAGAACTGCAGAAGGGAGAAGAAAACATGGCTTACGAGAACTGTAAAAAATGGTAAACCTCCTGTAGAGACCAAGGCAGTATTGAACTGGTGTGTGTGGAAGGTTGATGTTCACCGATAGCAGAGAGAGAACAAGAGGGAGGAAAGTATTTTCGGTTCTGCTCTTGCGTCTCTTTCCATGGTTCTGGGCCAACTGCCCTTCTTATCCCTTCGCGAAAGAGATTTGTCAGCGGCTCTTAAACCACCAATGCGGCAGCTGTGATGTGACATCGGGACCCATACAAGCTTCACTGAGGAAAATAGTAGATGAAAACAGGATGAAACTGGATAATCGCCAGGCTTTCCTCTTCAGAGTGTCCTCCCCAGGCCTCCAGAGCTAACGAC